CTGTGGGGCTCGACATGGAAGCATTAGCTCATCGAGCCCGCCAAGCTGGCTGGTGTAATAAAGTGCCACTTCCTGTAATAGTCTCAGTGTCACGATCTTTCTGTCTTCCCGCTAACCTTGCCTGGTTAATTTTTGATATATTGTGGAAACAGGTCTCGCCAAGTTGTCCAGGTTGGTCTCGAACCCATGGGTTTAGGCAATTCACTTGCCTCTGCCTCCCATAGTGCTGGGATTACAGGCTGAGCCACCAGAGTTGTATTTTGTTGTCACTAAAGCTATCATTAGTGAACTACATACGAAGAGGCTTCATGTACCACTGGCATTACTATGTGCTTAGGGGTGGGGCTGGTTTACCACAAAATATTTTTCAATGTTTTTCAATGTTGAAATGAATGCTCCACCCTCAGTTTTAAGTCTTTCCTCTGCACCAGAACCTCTGAAAGGATCTTCATATCCTTGGCTCTTAGAACATTTTTACTTATTACTTGGTGCTTATCAGTATGGTTGTGGATAAGTTTCCTTTTCTTTTTCTCTTTTATAGCCTCAGTCTTTTTATTTGATTTTTAACTTTCAATTTTTTTATTTTAAAGATGTGAGATACAATTCAAGGTTAGGTATATAAATGTTCGTTATGCAGGCACCCTTGTTGATGAGGTGTGCCCCCACTTTCCCAGGCAGATTCCCACTATTGCCAGTCCCACTTCCTCACCCACCTCCCAACAGTTTCCTGCTACTGCCAATCCTTTTCTTGTTACGATAATTGCTCAAGGTCCATTTATGAGTGAGAACATGTGATACCCAGTTCTTTGCCTCAGTCTTTCATAGGAACTTTGCCCCTGGTTATTGGGAACAGGGAAACTTCTCAGTGATCCTGCACTTCTCTGGGTTTAGTACACTTCTGAGGATCTTGTCCCCAGATGTTGTCTCCTTATTCACCTCTATTGATAGAAATTTTATTATCTTCTCTTATCTCAATTCCAATGAATCTTTATTAGCATCTAAGGGTAATGGTGGTCTAAGATTCTATTCCATTAAGAGAAAAGAGAGAAGAATTTGAGCTTCAAGTTATTTTTGCAGTAGCTTCTGTTCCCCTATTCTAAGCCTATATCATGAAAGAATCTTTCTCAGAAATCTCACCCTGCCTCCATTCTTTCTTGTAAGCACCAAGAGATCTGTGAACAAGAGTATGTGAATGAGTACACGTTTTTATTGCATTTCCATTTGCAGGGGATTTATAATTCATAGTAACCCATACACAGTCTTAATAGTTCATTTAAAAATTTAACTAAATTATTTTACTAGTAGTTGTGGAACCCAGGAGCATCTATCATAGATAAGCAAATGTTCATGTTCCATTTATTTTTGTAGACACCTTTTTTTTAAAGTAGGATTTAAGAGGACAGAAAAGCTCCCACAGTGGGAGGGAACCTGGTGAGGTTGCCCAACACTTGTTTTTTTAAATTAAAATTTGGGATTAGTTAGTTACCTTATGACTCAGCTCTCTAATCAGTTCAATCAAAGTTGTAAAAATACAGAAAGCTTGGCAATTTTATGTAAGTTAAGCTGATTCCAGCTTCATTCATCCTAAGTAGATATTCAAAACCCATTTCTTCTTTGAAAGGTGCCTATAGAAACCTAGAAGAAACTTAGCTTATTCTTAGTCTTTTTGCCTCAGTGCAACGATTAGCAAGCATTCAGACGATTAGCAAGCATTCAGACGTTCTACTGCAGGACAAACAGCAACCTATCCCATGCCCCACCCCCAAACAAATCTCCTTCAGATGCAAGACCAGGACAGCCCAACCATTCATGGTTTAGCATAATAAGCTCTAGTAAACTTTTAGGTTCCTTGTCAAAGCTGAAGATCAAAGATGGCTGGCCAAAGTCATAAGTGTTTGTGAGTTGCAAATGTCTGAGTTGGTGAATTGCAAATGTCTAACAAGTCTCTTGCAGGAATCACAACCCCCTCCTCCAGGGCTAACCTAATCAGCCCTCTGTGAACTATGTGACACATAGTAGCAATCATGTGACTAACCCACCCATCTGCCTGCTGTCCATCACCTGACATCATCAGTACCTGAGCTTGCCTGCCCCTTTGTGATGACGTGGGAGCAGACCACCACCCAATCACCCTAATGATCTTCTCCCATCAAGGTGAATGTTTAAAAGGACTCAACCACAAGCAAGCAGCAGCCATTGCCTACTAGAGTCTGGTGTGGCCATGTGCTCTTTGAGCCATGGCTGTCGCCATCTTCCTGGCTTTGCCCCCCTCGCCCACCTTGGGGAGGTGAATCTTCACTCTTCCTTCTCTTTCTCTCTCTCATTTAGTTCAAAATAAACTTTTCTTTCTTAACCTTTTTGTGAGTCACAATTCTTTGCAGTTTACTGGAATCTCTGGGTTCCCAGCGTGTACCTCTGGCTTGCCAGCCCCGGCAGTGCTGTGCGCCTCCCTGCACCTCTCTACACCCTCACCCTGTCTGTTCATACCCTAACATTCTTGATAATGCAAGACATCTTTAAGAATAATCACAACTTGGCATTACCTACCTTAGTAATTTCACATGGTCACCATAAGAGGAAGGACAATAAACATTTCAAGAAGGCCCAGGAAAAACTGCTTCCAACAATTAGCCTTAATTATCATGACATTGAAAAAGCATTTATCTATACACAAATACATTAAGTCCATAAAGTTTTTATTGAGTCCTAACTAGGTGTTAGTTATTGTGTTAGATCTGTAGTATACACAAAAGATACAGTTCCTGGATAAATAGTCCTTGGCCTAATGAGGAAATATTAAAAACTTACAATCACCGATAAATATATCATTAAACATTATTATGTGTATTATGAAAAATTAAAACAGTGTGTTCAAAGGTATAAGAGAAAAAGCCTAAATTTTAAAAGGTAGGAGGAACACTTCCAAAATAGCAAAATAGCAACTTCCAAATATCTGCTCCTCCATCTAAGCAATGACAACACAGATAATAATTTAAATAAATAGTTTAAATAAAAATTTTTTAAATGTTTAAATAAAAACAAAAATTTCCAAAACTGTCAAAATTAACCAAGTGCTTGTAAGAATTCAAGAAGTATTCATTCAAGAAAAATGGCTGAATTTTAGCAGAAATAGTGAGCTTTGTGACATTTTAACTTGGTCTATTCCACAGCTCTGCAATGGCCTTGAAAACCATCATAGGATCATGGTAGGTAAGAAAAACAACAGCTTAAGTGAGCAAAATGTGCTTGTAGATTTCTAAGAGGTCTCATCCCCAGACAATTGCCACTATTTCACTTACTTGGCAGCTCCCTAAAAAAAAAACCCATTCATAATTTTGTCTTTTTTTCACCTGACTCAGTTCACTTAGAGAGAAAAATCCTATTTTTAGGTTCTTTGTCAAAGTTCTGAGCAGCTATTATTTAAGACTGCAATTGCCTGAAAATGTAAATATCAGTTGGAGCAAACAATAACCTGACTAAACTCTGAAAAAAATTTTTGAAGGACATTAAGATCCTTAAGGGTCTTTGAAAAACTTCCATATATTTCTGGGGTCACAAATATTATGGCACATGTGCAAGACACTATGCTTGCTCATAAAAGACCTGAGAAGGACCCAGTCTTCCATCTTTGGCTGACCTTGAAGGTCTGCACAAACAGGATGTAAAAATTAAGGCAGAATTTAAACTTCCAAAGCACTGAAGGAAGAATTGAAGACATGCTCCAACACACACACACACACACACACACACACACACACACACACACACACAGAGCCCATGTGCAAGACATCAGAGAATTAATAGTTTAAAGCATTTAAGAAACTCTACTCAATTGTTAGTTGACTACCAAGCTAACAAGTGGAAGCTTCAAGGGCCAAACACAGCAAGAAATACAGAGTTAAAGTAAGTTATCCATGAAAATCACTAAATAAACAGCACCACCAACACACAAAAGAAAACACTCAGTAGAAGGTTTTCTTATTTTAAATGCTCAGATTTTGACCAAGAAAATGAAGAAAGTATGACTGACACAAACTTAAAAAAAAAAAAGTCAATAGAAACTATCCCAACTGGGCATGATGGTGCATACCTGTAGTCCTAGCTACATGGGAGCCTGAGGCAGGAGAATCACCTGAGCCCAGGAATTTGAGGCTACAGTGAGCTAGTTATTTTGGCCTCACTGCATTCCAGCCTCGGTGACAGGGTGAGAGACCTGTCTCTTAAAAAAAAAAAACCAAAAAACTAAGACCAGCTCTATAGGAGACCAAGGTGGGAGGATTGCTTGAGCCCAGGAGTTCAAGTTCAGTCTAGGCAGCATAGCAAGAACCCAACTCAAACAAACAAACAAACAAAAACTATCTTAATAAACAAAGATGAACCTGTAGTGAATGAAACTATCTTATTGTGAATTTTGTTAATTTGAAATAATCAAAAGGATCAGAATCCAATTGAAAAGCTTATTCAAGCGAAAAGCAGAGAATAGCCATTTGGATAACATAAACTCCAAAGGAATGGGGCCAGTGCTCTGAAATTTAAAGTTAAGGTCTTGCTTATCTAGACATAAAGACTGTTAGCAGTATTATAATTCTTTTTTTATACAGGGCTGGTGTATGAGTTATAACAATTTAATTAGTTACTATTTGTTTTCCTATAGCTTGTTTTATTTCCTTTCCAATTTAAAAGAGTGTATTTAACATTCCATCTTAGACAATGTGATAGTCATGAAATATTTGTATGAGAAAGGAAAGAGGGAAGTTAATCTATAATGAAGATTAACAGTTAAAAGGGAAGGAATCTTCCCTGGCACCCTTTAGTCATTTACAGCATTTTACAAAACAAGGTATCTAAGTAAAAAGACTAACCTATAATTAGAAAAACAAAGGTTATAGCTGCCTGTTTAGGTGACTCAGGTCCCATAATCACATTCCCTGAAGGTTCAAAATATTTTAAAGTTCCAACAGCTTAGATTTTGAATTACTTACTTTCACAGTTCTATATAATTAAAATATGAATCCCATAGAAGACTTTGCTTTCCTTACAGTCTTCTTAAAGGCACTCTTAACCTCTTTGTTCCTCAGGGTATAAACCAGAGGATTCAGCATGGGAATGACTACGGCGTAGAACACAGATGCCATTTTGTCAGTGCCCATGGAATGCCTGGAGCTCGGTTGTAAGTACATAAAAATGCCTGTCCCGTATGAAAGGCCCCAGCCAGCCATGAGGAACCCGCCCCCTCCAAAGGCTAAGCCCAGGCATGGCCCCCACCTAAAATGGCGCTCCCGCCTAAGAAGGTGCCCAGACAAACTAACATGGAGGCTCGGACAAGGCCTTCCGGGTTCTTCTTCCACAAAAAAGCCCACCATTCCCACGCCCGCGAAAGCCCCTGCCAATCCCAAAAATACCTCACCTGCCGACCAATAGGTAATCGACAGGTCACTTTAAATTTCTATAAAACCTGCCACACCCCTGCCTCCATGCTGCAATCTGATTCTCAGGTTCTGTAGCCACTGCACTCACCCCCATTAAATCTCTTGGCCTTAAAGGGTGTTGAGTCTCACTGCACGCCACCGTCTTTCATTGGTGCCTATGACTTGGTCGGGGATTCTCTCACCCTAAGGCGGAACCGTCCCGGCGCCGGTGGGACTCACCCCTTAAGGCCTTCGCCCATTCTCCTGAACGCCAACGATACATCCACCACCGGCCTTCAGACTGGCAAGTGTCCCCACACTGAAAACCTAAAACCTTGCCTGGGACAACCAGGGAAACTGGCCATTGATCGTCCGGCAGCTCCTTCAGCCCCGGGCAAGGGGGGGGGGCCACACCCCACCTAGGTCTTTATGACCGCAGTGGACCCCTATCGGTTTTCCCTCGGCCGCTAGAGATTTCAAGCCTTCCCTCCCTCCGGTTTTGGGTAACTTTCTTGTCAAAAATTCCGGTACCGGGTTGCCCTTAACCTCCTCGATTCTCCAGGAGAATCCGGGTCTACAATAACGACCTGTGACGACAGGCTTTATTGTAACCCATCCGTTCCTCAGTGGTCGCTTGTCCAGGGGACACCCTGACCAGCCCCCACTGCTAACATGGGAAACTCGTCATCTCTTCCGGCCGACTCCCCCACTCAAGTGCCTCTTAAATAATCTCTCTAAACTCTCCCTCACTCTCAGTATTAAGCTTAAGCGTTTAATCTGCTTCAGTACCCAAAATTGGCCCACCTATCGCTTAGACAAAATAAGTGGCCCCTACGGGTCCCTAAACCCCGACATTATTCGGGATCTCTATAACTTCTACGAGTGTTCAGAAAAATGGGCAGAGATTCCCCTTCCCTCCCCATCCTATTTACGCCACCACTTCCCTCCTCTATCTCTGACTTCAACCCAGCAGATAAACTTCCTATAGTCTGCTTTTGCTATTCCACTCTCCATCAGTTTCTCCTCCTTCTCACTCTCCACCTTTATCTGGTAAGGAAGGGCTGGCATCTCCAGCTGGGTCACCTGACCCCAGTCTCCAGTCTTTCTCTTTTGTCTTTGGAGGAGGGGCCGGTGCCAAAGGCCACAGTGCCTGACCCCAACCTCCAGCCTTCTCACCCCCCTCCCCTCACTGCTTGATAACTCCCTGGTGGCAGCTGCAACAAGTCACCACCCCCACATGTACTTAAAAAACCCATTCAAGTTTCCACATGGCTTAATAGGTCTCTTCTCAAGGGGGTGGCTGGGACAAAAGGATGTTAAAGAACTTCTTCTTTGTTGTTTTCTTATGATAAATTTCTCTCAAGTTATATCTAAACTGGGACTATAT